CGTACACAACTAAGTGGGTCCATGGGGCTAGCAAAGCGACCCTGGCCCAGGCTCCTGGGGAACGACCCTTCGTACAGAGGTCATCATTTTGATGAACCGTATTAGTTCACGGAGGAACATCGAGGGAACTCTGACTAGGCATTCGACTACACTGCCTAGCGCTAAGCAATACACTTGAAATAGCTAAGCCAAGCTTACCTCTGCGTCAAAACTCCATGCCCAGGGACACCATCTGCACGTTGGGTCGAGGTGGGACGATTTACTTATGAGCCCAACTGGTGAAGTAAATCCTGTGTTAGCCTGACGCGTTTGGCTATTACCCCTTGCCCGGGTTGTTGGTAACCGGAAGTCTGGGTATGGATTGAGGTGTACCGACTTCTGGTGAAGCAGCAGCACTACCTGTTTCATCACTCTTGTGAACCTGTAGGGCGCTGTGCCTAACTCGAATGGGGAGGCACCCGAGATTCGAATACTTGGCCCAGCTGGGCAATTCGAAGGAGATGGCAACTCGCTGGGTGCATCGGTACGTGCAGGTAGGCCCCGCTTAAGTCTAGCGGGGCTAGCCAGTCAAAATGGTGGATGGAGAGAAGAACCCTGGATGGTGTCTCCATGTGGAACCGATCAAGGAGCACGTACTGATTCAGTCTGCCTTGGTCCAAAACTGGACGCCTGCCATTTGTAGATTCGGTACTACGAACACATTTGGGTAGAAGTCTGGCCTTAGTTCCGGCTGATGTACCCTGTGTATGGCGACTTTCCCCAGCAAACTGCTATTTCCTGTCTGATTGCTTCCGCCTTGCGGGAGTCCCCTGGCAGTGCCCAACAGGGGAGACACTGACGAGGGGGGAAATGGAGATTTCAGCGGTATCCCGTAAACGGATGTCACCACCTGGAAAGATCCAGGGATTGGTCACCCATCGTCTCCAAACCGGACTACACCGGCACAATCTGTGTACGACAGGGATATGTGGCCATGTGTTCGGCAGTTGCGAGGAGGGTTGCTACCTTCCCCCATGAGGTGAGTTCCCCAAGGCCTGAAGTAGTCACTAAGTTGTGAACCTGGCCATTCACCGAACACGTGCCTGTCCCCCCGGTTGCAGAGGAGAGCGTCAAACATGCCTCCCCTGCTGCCGGGTAGAGGTCCGCCCAGGG